CATATAATTTATTTAGCTCCAATTTTAATTATATTTATTAGATTTTTTTTTGAAATTTGCAGAGATAATTTATTTTAATTAAAAAAAATGAAATTTTTATCACATCTTTTAAATTAAATCCATCCAACAATTAAATATATATTTATTTTTATTTATTAAAATAATACTAGAAGGGTACTCGCACAATGCAACGAGATATATCTCGATTTTAATATTTCGTTTTATTCTATCTATGTAGATGTTTTAATATGATGTTTATGTGGTTTTGAGAAAGGAATAATATTTTTATTTTTAAATAAATTATAAATTTGAAGATATCATAAATTTTTGAAAATAAATATATCAGTATTAATATTATATTAACTATTCAAAAGTTCTTTTTTTGTGCAATTTTTTTAATTCAATTTTTTTATTATAATTTAATTTAGATATAATAACAAAGTAATTTATTTTTGATTTAATAATATATTTTTTATACGAATAATAATTATGTATTCTGTTAAAACTCAATAATTATCCTAATTATATTTTAGAATTTTTATATTTAAAATAAAATGTTTATCATGTATTTGATTATATTTATCTGCAGTTAGTTACATGAATTCAAACATGGAGTTTTAATAAGTTGTACTTATTCACAATTACTTGTAATAATGAATTTTAAATAATATACATAAATAAACAATATTTTATATATAAAAAATAATTTTTAAACGTTTTTATCAAATGTTTTATAATATAGTATAGATAAATAATATTTTTTTTAAAATTATTAATAGACAAAAAAAATCTCTAACCCCAACCAACGAAATATATTCGTCATAGTTATCCAATCAAACTTTTAGGGATTTCAATTGTGTAAAGGAATGGTAGGGCCCACATCAATATAAAAACAAAAAAGGGTAATTTAGTAAATTCGCATCCAAACATGGAACCCTAAATCCATCCCCTTTTCCCCCACTATAAATAGCCCCCAACAAGATCTTGAAATTTGAAGAAGATCGATTTGTGGGTTTTGTTTTTTTCATCAATGAAATGAAAGAGGAATTCATCTCAAGCTTTTCTTCCATGGCGATTACAAAAGGTTGGTTTTTCAATTTTTTATTATTACATGTGATTTGATTGTTTTTTTTTTTTATTCAGATCTCTTTCATGAAGGTTCATATATGAATCATTGCTAAAAAAATAGACATCTGATTAATAATATGCATCTTCATATGTGAATAATTGATAAGCAAAGTTAGGTTTGTATATGCATTTTCGAATGGATTCTTTTTGTTTATTAATGATTCACATATGAATATTCGATTTGTATATTCACAACTTTTTTGTTCTTTTCATTTGGACCATTTTATGTATATGGGCTTAATTATTTGAAAGTTTCAAAATCGTAAGATCTTTGAGAACTTCAATCTTAAGGTTTTGTTTCATGTGGGTTTTTTTTTTTCATTTGAGTATAGTATCTAATATTTTGATTAACATATATTTGTTTCACAATGTGTTTGTTTCATATGTATTCGGTTCGCAATGTGGAAACATATTTTCTAATATTTTTTTTTGTTTTACAAACATGCTAAAAGGGTTCTTGTTGTGAACCAAGTACTTGTGAAACAAATATATGTTAATCAGAACATTAAATTCTAGTCATGGATGAAGAAAATCATATGAAATAGCACATGATGTACTTGATCTCACGATTTAGAGAGTTCTTAAAAGAGGTTTTTTTGTTGAAGTATATAATATTGATATATACCACAAAACTCACACAGTTCTCACTTTTGGTTAGGGATGTTATTCGGTCGGTTAAATCTAAGACTGACAATTGGTAAGGATAAACATCTTATCCGTAATGTTTCGACTCGTTGGACAAGGGTATGGTTAAAGAAAGTTTTATTCATTTATCCACTTACTCGTTTACTCGAAATTTTAGTGGATAGGGTATGGTTGAACGGTTTTTTGTTATCCATTACATGTTACCCCGTTACTCTCTCTCTCTCTCTCTCTCTCTCTCTCTCTCTATATATATATATATATATATATGTATGTATGTATGTATGTATGATTAAATGTTAATATAGACGAAGCATTGTGTTAGAAAAGAAGTTAAGATGTGTACAGGGTTTATAACTACTCTTCTTATTACAGGGTGCTTACGCTTAGATCCGGCTTTATCCAAACTTTTCTGGTTCACCCCAACATTCCCCACTTGTCCGACTGTTGCTGAGCAGTTTTTGGATATCAAACGGACCCCCCCATAAGGTAATTTTAATGTGGTCGATTTTCCTTCTTTTGCAATCAGTTTCGCTACAGCACCCGCTGCTCTAGCTAATTGTCCACCCTTTTCAAGTGTGATTTCTATGTTATGTATGTGTTTTTTGCCACTCATTTTTCACAATATTCTTCAGAAATTTCCCTCAATTATTCTATCCCTGACTACTCATAGTCAGTTAAATTTTTCGAAATATAAGATATTTTGATATAATGATAGAAAAGGAGTTCTTTCGTCTCAAAATCTGAATAATATTCATATTCATTATTTAAATTCTTGAGAAATATAAAAAGGTATTTGGACCCTTGATCATTTTAATCTCAAAACAACCCATGATTTGCACTTTAGAAATGAATTGATCTAGTGTATCTCATTAGTGTTGATACGATGATCAAGGATAGATATCCCTTCTTACCTTTTCCACCATAATTTTTCAATCTCATTGGTACTCAGCCCTATTAATAAAGGTGAAGGATCGTGTGAGAAGGGAAGTTACGGTGAGAAGCGTAAAAAGAGATCTGACATCTTAATCACTTTTAATCTCATGGTCACCCATGAATTACGCTTTAGAAGAGAATTGATCTGGTACATCTTGGTGCACCTCATTAGTGTTGACATTCAGTAAGACCATATATTCATTACCTGTTTTGTTATATGTTATTTTGATGGGTCGGGTAGGATATAGATAATAGGTTTATAAGATGGATAATTATTTGTTTATTGTCCGCTACTTTAAATGGATTGGATAACAGTATAAACTTTACCCTAACCTTACCGTAACCATACCCTACCCGTTGCCGGCCCTTAAATCGGTTTTTGGGTTATTTGATTCGGGTTAATCGGTTTTTCAACATTTTCCATGTTACTTGTTTACCAAATCAAATAAGGTTCAGTTGATCGATTTCGAGCTATTATGTTTGATAATTGTTAATAATAGTATAATATATTATTTATTTTATTTGTATAGAAAAAAAAAATATAAAATTAAACATAATGTGTTATTCGGTTTAACCCGATTGGCAAAACTTAACCAAGAACCAAATTGAATAAAGAATTTTTATTTGGTTAACCGACTAATCTTAGGGCAACCACCTGCTTTACTAGTAGCTCAGAGTTACCGTATTTGAACTTCCGTGGCCACAAGGAGATTTTTATTTCTCATTGGATTTGAACCTGGAACCTCTAGGCACATTTGACCTTTGGAGCCAAGCTCAAATCAATCAGTCACCACCCTTATGGTATCCAATTTGGTTTTCTTGATACCACTACTGTTGGTGTAGGTTAAATCTTTGACCCTTACAAAGACACTGTTACTTAATGCCGTCAGGCCAATGGTTTTTTGGTCATATGTAACGTTTATTTCTTAATTTTTTTGTTACATCTTTAATTTTTTTTTTATGTTTTTGAGGATGAAAGAAAGGAAATGAAAGATGTCAATTTTACAAATATACAGTATTTATTTTATAACGATTACAATTGATTGGTAAATTTGTAATTTTATAAATATTTTTAGTTATTTTTTTTTTCATTTTTTCCTTCCATATTTGGGAGTAAAGTCTTAGGAGGAAACCAACATTATTTTCTTAGGGGCTGTTTGACAATTGCTGAATGGTTTGGTGCAGAATGATTAAATGGTTAGATTGAGTAAGAGGCTCTCATGATATAGTGCAAAATGAAATATAATTATTTGGTAATTGTATACAATGAAATTAAGGATTTTAATGGTTAAGGGAGATCCATGGTACAAAATCATTCAAGGAGTTTTAGAACCATTAAGAGACATACTTTTTATTTTGCCAAACAAGATTCACCTCTTAACGATCCAGAGGTTGCCTCTTAATGAAACTATTAAAAGGTAAACAAACAACCCCTTAGAGTATCTCCAACAACATAGGTATGTTATATTTTCTCTTTCTTCAAAATTTAGAGATTTCTTCATTATCTCTCCTTTTTTTTACTCTATTTTAAAGGAGAATTTAGAATAGTTGTTGGAACAAATTTTTTACTTCTTTCTTTTACGCTTGTATTCTTATCTATATTTGGATTTTATTACATTAATTCATAGTTTAAAACTCATAATATGCTCAAAAACCAGAATGCATTTTTCTATTAACCTGGACATCCAGCCTGTTATGCGAGTAGCATGGAGTCATCGCATTTGAACCTCTATGGGCACAAGGAGATTTTTATTTTTCATTGGATTCGAATCTAAGACCATCAGACACTTTTGACCTTTGGAGTCCAAGCTCAAACCAATCAGGTTGTTAAAAAAAGAGTTAGATTGCCTAGACTGCGAACAACCATAGGGAAAAGGTTTTCTCTGTCATATGAACATTTAAGAATGAAATTGAATTTATCCATAGAATGAGAGGTTCATGAGGATTTCTATATGTTGCAAACCACATCTAAGGAATTTGATAAATGGAATTAAACATTCCAATTCTATTAGATTTTGTAGGAATCCACTAACCAAATGCCGCTCTATTGTCGAAAAAGTCAAATGTAATTGTACCGAGTGCATGTAGATATTGAACATCTCAGGTTATTGTGCATTACTTTTTTAATGTAGAGACTAGAAATGCACAAAAATCCAAAATCCAAGATATTTTGAGAGCAAGACTGGCTTGAGAAAACCCAATTAAGCTTGAAAAAACCCAAAAAGGCTAGGGTTTATAAGGGCCCAACGGACCCTTTTTTATGCATCTCGATCACTTTGTCCCCAGTTTCCTTGTCCCCTATCTGTCTCATCTTCACGTGAATGCATGTTATAAATTTGTTTAGGAGGTGTTTGGTTAGAGGCATTAAGCAGTAATCAATAGGAATGAAAATAAAAGAAATTGCTTGGTATTATATAATATAATGGGTTCATTCCCCCATAAGCCCAAATTTTCATTCTAGATTAAACTAGTGGGAATGAAAATTCATTCTTATTTTCATTCCTTGTCATTTTCATTTCATTCCCCAGTGTGAACCACATAGCCCCTTTTTAAATGTCACTCTTCATATGATTAATGGACAGGAAGGAAGAGGAAAATGATTGATGCACATGGATCAGTTGAGATGGTTTGGGAAACCATACCAAATGGAAGTATCACAATACACTTGTGACCACAGAGGTTCAAATGCAGTGATTCCGGGCTATCTGCAAAACAGGTGGTCGTCCTAAGATTAGTCGGCTCGTATAACAGGTTGGATATCCAGGTTAATCAAAAAAAAAAGTAGCAAGTTTTTCATAAACATACAAACTTCCACTACGTTGCAAAATGCTAAACCTTTGCAACTCATAAAATGAACATACATTTGTCACACTTGTATTATAAAGGCTTCTTACATCATACGTCAACAAATCAATCAAATTTGTTGGTACGGCTTTTCTTGGCACAGTAAAGATGCGGCCCATCATTTTCAACGAAGCAACATATTTTCGCCATTTTCTAATAGCTTTATTTGACATTAGGCACACAAACTAGACTTGAATCAGCATAAAAAGATGAAAATGCTCAAACTTTTGCACAAAGAGACTCGGAAAACCTGTCAACCGAAAAGGGTATTCTTCATTCCCGTCCAAACCTCACACCACGCCTTTTTAACGTAATAACACCACAAACAGCATACAGTCCAGAAAACGGAAAGTTCTGAAGAATGCTGGTACACATTTACAGCAGATGTTCTACTAACTATACTCGCAATTAGCTGGGGTGGGGGTG